AATTTACAAATTGAGCCCGTGCGCGAATACCGTTTATATTCTCCGAAAGCCAAGTTTTGTCAATAACGTGTTAAATGTCTGTACTAACTTAAACTTTGAATGTTTTATTTTAATATTCTACTTTTATACTGTGAATTACGTAGAAGAATTTGCACCCTACTTGTATCTGTGTATACTGGGGAGCCTTAAAGACAGAAGGTACAACACCTGAGCAGTGACATAAATACTAACCGGACAATGCGAACAGAATAATGGTCTACTTTTCGATTGCCATGTTGGTTTAGTGGCGAGAGATCCTGATTGCTAAACCAGAGGTGGTGCATCCGATTCCCATACAGGACAAAAAATAATATAAAACATTATATAAAATAAATGAAAATTATACACAATTTGTTTGATAATGATGAGCACGATCATTTGTTTTATATCTGGGTTGAATTTACTTATAAGATATATATGAGTATGTTCATCAGTAGTCTGATTTTTATAGCACAGGCTTTTTTGTTATATTATAAGGGGGCATACGAGTAAACGGGTCACCTGATGGTAAGCAACTAACGCCGTCCATGGACACCTGCAACTCAAAAGTCACAAGTGCGTTACCACCCTTCTAGTCCCTCCCGCTCGAGTCCAGATAGCCGGGGAGGGGATGTGTCAAGTTATTATTATTATCATTCTATGCACTCTTAGCAGATTAATGCAGAACCGAAGTGTTGACTCAGGGTTGCTCATCATGTTTATTTTAATTGTCACAACAATAACTGTTTCTTTCATTGCTATCCTACAAGGCTCTGAGTGTTGGCCGAGAGACGCCTGCATGTAGAAATGCAAATGTTAAGATGGATGCGTGGTGTGACTAAGATGGACAAGGTGAGAAATTACTGCATTAGAGGAACCTGAAAGCAGCAGGTTATCCTGGTATAGACATGTGATGCAGAGGTGAGTAAAATGTAGTAAAGGAAGTATCATGTATGGAAGGTGACGGATTTAAGAGTAGATGACGACCAAAGAAAAGATAGATGGATTGCGTGAAAGAGGATATAGCTAGAAGAAGAAAGAAGAGCTAAGAGCTAGAGCAAGGAGTGAACTCACGAGTGATAGAGGAGAATGGAAGATAAAACTCATTGCGCCGACCCTAAATAAATTTGGAAAAGAAGATGATAATTTGCTTCTATCATTCCTAGGTTCCTCGAAGAGGATAAACTGTGATGCAGGACAACAAATGATCATCAACTTAATATTATCATGATTAATATTCTATTATTTAATCACCAAGAAAATTGATTAATTAAGTCTCGAATTTCAAATTTGGATCCTTCATTTCTCAAACCTCACCTTCGAACCCTGGGGCTAAGATTTCAATATTCAAGGCATCTCGTAAAAGAGTATAACATTTCGTTATTAAATATGACTAGACGTTTTTTGATTATGCCATCTGATATATATTGTAATTTGTCACCAATTCATGATATCATACGTTGAAACCATGGGCCATGCTTCAGACCATATGGCCAGTTCGAATGCAGTGGTATCTCAGAAAACCAGAAATCTACGCAGGACAACAGCACTATAAAGAGAAGGAAAACTTGAAACGAAATAATCTGGCCAGCGCGGTATATTGGGCAAAAACTTCCCTTCTAAGAAGAGGCCTATGTCCAGCAGTGGACTAATAAAGGATAATGAGGATTAAGCAATTCCTTCTTCACTTTTTACGAAATTATTGAGGTTACTAGGAGCGGAAGGGTGGATTATTCTGGGGTAGGCAAACATAGGCCGGCCGCGCACTTTATTATAACTCACAGTTAATACTCGTTAACGTTAACGTTGTTACTGATTTTGCATAACTACCCTTAAAAGGGGTGCAACCTTGAATGTGAAATGTTTTTTTTTAAACATCGATTTCAATATCTAAGTAAAAGTTTTTTTTTTACTTTTTTGACTTTTCAAAACGTAAGTATGTTTGTCACTCAATCACGTGAAAACGTCTCTCTTGATCTAGACGAGACTTGGCAAATAGATAAATTACAGTCTTGAATATTATAGCACAGAGGCTACTATTTATTCCGGCCAATTTTTTTTATTTTATTTTGACGGGCCTGTTGGTCTAGTGGTTAGTGACCCTGACTGCTAAGCCGGAGGTCGTGGGTTCGATTCCCACCCAGGACAAATATTTGTGTGATGAGCACGGTCATTTGTTCTGTGTCTGGGTGTAATTTATCTATAATATGTATGTATTTAAAAATATATAAGTATGTTTATCAGCAGTCTGGTTACCATAGTACAGGCTCTGCCTAGTTTGGGATCAGACTGCCGTGTGTGAGATGTGTGAAGTTGTTATTATTGTTATTATTATTATTGTTATTGACAAAATCGACATTTACGCGAGCAAAACCGTGGGCAAAAGCTTGTACTATATGATAAAAGAAGATATCTTTATGAGTCTCAAAAACGCATCAAATTCCGAAGAAAGTAGTATTACGAGAATAAAAAGTGAAATTCACTGTGTATTATAATTAAGTTGATTTCAATTCTAGTGCCGGAAGATCTTTATATGCACTAATGTATTTAAATAACTTGTCCGTTGTATTACATTGTTTAGGTAATACGTTTCTATCGTTACAAGACTTTAATTATTCATCGCAACGTCCAGAATTTAAAAGTAAGATGCTTTGTTTAAGTCTATTTTATCTATGGGCATATTTAAGAAGGGTTTGATTTCACTATACCATCGCCTTCTTATTTTTAATTTTATTTGAGACTAGCTGAGGCCCGCGGTGTTATCCGCGTTTGTTGTTATAACCGCGGGCAAAGCCGCGAGACGAAGTTAGTCTAAAAAAGTAGCCTAAGTTACTCCTTATGTCATCAGGTAGCTGCCAGTGAAAGTCCCGTCGAAATCGGTCCAGCCGTTCCAGAGATTACCCGGAACAAACAAACAGACAGACAGACAGACAAAAATTGTAAAAAATGATATTTTGGCATATGTACCGTGTAAACATACATATGCATTTAGTAAAAAGCGGTTATTTTAATATTACAAACAGACACTCCAATTTTATTTATTTGTATAGATATAGATCGCTGCGGTGTGTTTTATTATCGAATGGGGGCAAACGAACAGACCATGACCTGATGGGAAGTAACAACCCGCAAAATTTGGAGAGCAAGCGCGTGGCCACCTTTTGGGGGCATCCCCAGAATTAGGGAGGGGCACAATATTTGTTCTGAGTGGGAATCTATACCACGACCTCTGGTCACTTACTTATATGCACGTTATTATTTATTTTTAAACTAGCTTGTGCCCGCGATTTCGTTCTTGTTCTGAGTCTGGGTGTTCTTTGTGTCCGTTTCATGTATGTTTGTAAAGTCCCCCGAGACACAGGATATATTCCTAATGCGGTAGGTGTCTTAAAAAATATATATTAGAAAATGATTGGTGTACATTCATACATAGGCACATTAATGTCTATTACCCGAAGGGCTAAACATAGGCGTGTTAATCGATTACATTGGTCATTATTTTATAATTTTAGTCCCGCCTATGTCATGAAGGCTATTGCCGTCAATCGGGCAATTTAGGGATAAGATGGGAAGACTAGGAGGCGATGCCGAAGCTGGGGATAAAATCAAATCAAATCAAATCATTTATTTGTGATACATGGGTTACATACAGGTGTTCATTACATAATTATTAATGATGTTCATTCCATGATCTGCCATTTGGGCATACAAATTATTAAGCAATATATTGATTAATATTTAAAATTATAGTATTAAAAAAAATATGTACATATATTAATTTCTGTATATTTAAAAAAAAAATGTACAGATATTATTCAAAGTAAGGTAAATAAAATGAGAAGGCAATAGTAGAAAACGGATATAACGGAGATAGTAAGTAGATGGATTGGAGAGTGTAAGAAATGACAGGATTAGTCCGTGTGGTGACGGATTAAGAATACGGAATGTCACCACCCCTATTCATCCCGTGGGTGTCGTAAGAGCCGACTAAGGGAGCAAACTACGCAGGACAACAGCACTGCAGAGAAAAGGAAAACTTGAAACAAACCCTATACCAACCCGTCTGGCCAGCGTGGTATAGTAGGCCAAAACCCCCTTTCTAAGGAGAGGCCTATGTCCAGCAGTGGACTGTTATAGGCTGTTGATGATGATGATGATTGATGAAGGCACACCTGTTACTCAAATTGGCTGTTACCGGAAATTTCGAGCCAAAACCATATATGCTTTTTACTTCCCGAGTGTCATAACTCGGTGTGTTCGTGGGTCACTGCTGTTGATCTTGGCGTACAGGAGCTATAGAGGTGGGCGTGTGGGAGGGATTGGTCCCATTTTTTTTTATTGACAATTAACTTGTAATAAAATTATAGTGTCTTTTAGTGTCTATACATATAAAATTACTTGTCATGACTGATAATGGGATAGCCCTATGTCCAGCAGTGGACTGCGATAGGCTGATGATGGATGAAAAATGATGACCGACAGATTCATCAACGCAGAGCCTAACCCACTAGGGCTACAAACTTAAAATTTTGACAGCCGATGCTTTTTATATTGTAAACACCCAGTAAGATAGGATTTTTGGCAATTTCACCCCTAAGCGGGTGAACTAAAGTACGAACGGTTGTATAGAAGTTAGAAATTTTCAAAGTTAAAACACGAAATAAGACATTATCACGGGTTCGAAGCCGTTGGGCAATAGCTAGTCATATTATATTTATGCTTTACATCACATCACATCAACAGCCTTTAATAGTCCACTGCTGAAAGGAAATGAGGTTTTGGCCACGCTGGCCAAACGGGTTGGTATAGGGTTTGGGTCAAGTTTTTCTTCTTTTTCTGGTGTCCTGCGTTGTTTTGCGCCCTTAGTCGGCTCTTACGACACCCACTATATGAATTGGGGTAGTGACATTCCGTATTCTTAATCCGTCACTACACGGACACTTCATCAAATATAAATTGTAAAGTTATTTTTTTGTTTCCAGCTACACGGAGGGTGACGAAAGACACCCAGGAGTCCATGCCTGAGGTGGCAGATTATGAAACCGCACTGGATATTGCTGGTAAGACTATATCATTTATGTCAATAGATCTCCATCTTCCTATAAATAAAGTCCTAACTGTATCTATACTAACATTATAAAGAGGTAAAGTTGGTGAGTTTGTATGTGTTTTTGTTTTTTATATTATACCACGTTCACACAACGCCATCTAGTCCCAAACTCAGCAGAGCTTGTATTATGGGTACTAGAGAACTGATGTAAATACATATATACTTTTCTTTTTGTAAATACATACTTATTATACATAGAAACACCCAGACCAAATCAAACTTTAAATGTTCATGCACACAAATTTGAGCGGGAATGGAACCCGTGACCTTGTAAATAGCAGTCCGTTACACAAACCACTACGCCATTCGGTCGTCAATCGGGATAATCTCAGGAACTCCTGTTTCGAACTGAAACAAATATTTTAGTGTTGGATAGCCTTTTTATCGAGGAAGTATATAGGCTGTATAACATCCTGCTACGGTCAAAAGGAGCCAAGTGTTTATGAAAACTGTTGCGAAAGCGGGGATATGTTTTCCTTTTGACAGAAACGGACGAAGTTGCTAGGATCATCATCACATCAACAGCCTATAATAGTCCACTGCTGGACATAGCCCTCTCCTTAGAAAGGAGGTTTTGGCCTATACCACACTGGCCAGATGGGTTGGTATAGGGTTTGTGTCAAGTTTTCCTTCTCTTTGCAGTGTTGTTGTCCTGCGTAGTTTGCTCCCTTAGTCGGCTCTTACGACATCCAGAAGATGAATATCGGGGGTGGCTAGGGTCAGCTAGTATAATAATAAAATTGAATAATAAGTTCCGTAACTGTAGTCAATTTGTAGAAGTTTTCTATCCTAGATAATGATACGGCTGTGAAACTAAAACAGAGCAGAAACTTAAACTAAAAGAGAACACACGCGATGACAGAAAATTGTGTACTGAAGGTGTAATTATGATTTAAAAGTAAAGTTAGCAAACTGCTGAGGTAACATTATTATCCGATGACACCGTACACAATTTTATTCGTTATAAAAATGTCTGTTACGAAACTCAATCCTAATCGCATTTGTCATTTTTTGAACACCTTGCTAAGCCCCGATCACAGAACAAAGAGAAAAAATACATATTATTCCTTTTTGTGTGGCCCCGATGAAGGGTTTCGGAGAACTAAATAATTAATGACCATCTTACCTCATGCAGTGCAGTTATTTTTGGAAGTCATATTTCGAGAATTCAGGACCGTTACACGATTTAAAATGTATAGGTGTGATTTTATTAATCTTTTAGAGTTCCGCAACCGGCATACAGGAACCTTTCTTATTGAGATTGGGATGGAACGTTTTCTTTATAGGGATGTTTTATGCATTAGTTAAAACTGGAGATCACTTGGCGCTAGAATCGAATAATTTGTTGTATGTTTGCATTGTTAGTAGTATTTATATTGATTGGCGTGGTGTAGTGGGCTAAAACCTCTTTTTTAAAGAGAGGCCTATCTCTAGCAGTGGACTGTTAAAGGCTGTTGATGATTTCATTGTTCAGTATAACTTAAACTGTCATTATATTCACTTTTGAAGCACGACATATCAACATCTTTAACGACCTAGACCTAGAGCATTATGCATTATGTAGCCGTTTTTAGTGTTGTTATACAATTTTTTACTTTATACCTATCACATAATATTAAATTTTGGCTTTTCGCACTTCATTTACATATTAACACAATTTTTTTCAAATAATTAAAAAAAAAACAATACATTTCTGTTCAATTTATTTATTTAAAAACTGGTTCAAAGAAGTTTCTTTACATATTAATATTTAGATGTTCTATTGTAATGGACGATTTGTAGTTATGTTGAATGCAATATTTAAGTGACAATACGGCTCAATAGATATTTAAAGTTGGAGGTGCGGTATCTCAGTAGGATTAGGTAGTGTAATAATTTTTGCGAGCCTATTAAATTTACTTATTTATACAGAACCCTTGGCACCAAGATGCGCCTCGCTTTTATTTTATTTTTTGTATTGATGTAATACTTTTGAATAAGCTTGCAATATGTCATTGCAATTATCAATTCCCTTTTTGTTTCTTTGCGTTCCGTTATTTAAGAATGTTATAAATTTGTATTCATATGTGAGAGAAATTTTACGTATGTATCCAATTGTGTATACACAGAACTGCTAAAGGTTTTTAATACGGAACAAGCAGATGGGTCTTCTGATGGTAAGTGATTACCAGTGCCTATAGACAACTGCAACTCATGAATTAAAAGTGCATTGCCGCCCTTAGAGTGGCCCCCCTCTCCCAACCCCTCCCCCCTCCATATAATGAGAAGAGCAGCATTAAGCATGGCTCTCCCACTTTCACGATCCTCTGCGAGCGTTGAAGAACGCAACATGCCTGGCCCATCACATCACATCACATCATCCCATCAACAGCCTGTAGTAGTCCACTGCTGGACATAGGCCTCACCTTAGAAAGGAGGTTTTGGCCTACTATACCACGCTAGCCAGACGTGTGGGTATAGGGTTTGTTTCAAGTTTTCCTTCTCTTTTCAAAGCTGTTGTCCCTCAGTCGGCTCTTTTCGACACCCACGGGACAAACAGCCTGACCTTTGACAGTCAAAAAATAGCTTTTCTTTAATGAAGAAATGTATTCTTTTGTTACCTGCGAAAGGCAATGAATTAACTCTTGAAGTAAATTTAAATGAAGACTGGTTAATGTGGGTAAGGTGTGAAAGTCAGACGATGTGTTTCCTACAGAGATACATATTAAACTAGGTGCATACACTACGTCCGTTATACAGAAAACCTGTCTACAAACACTAATACTAGATTACACAGTCTCACGTCCGTTGTCCCTGCTCCGCCCCTAACCGTTAAAGCATGCTCTTAAATATTCTTTTTCATTTTTAATAATAGGGCTATGAAATGGTAAAAAACTTTTTCAATTTCGATTGATAGTTCTGGAGTTATGCGTGTGTAACACAAAAGTTAGTTTGGTTTTCTATAAAAAGCGTGTTTTTAGTTTTTTAAACTATTTTTTTTTTAAATTAGTGTATTGTTATCAATCCTCGATATATCTACAAAGTTTGAACGAATTCTGACCGTTTAAAGTCAGTCAAAATCACGCCTAAAGGAGTCGGTTACAAACAAAAATACAGGTGAAGCTCATAAAAAGCGTGTAAAACTAACTTTTAAGCTTTTTATTGTAATTGAACAGATAACCTATTTCAAATGTATTCAAATATGTTGGTATAGCGTTTGTGTAAGTTTCCCTTCTCTTTGTAGTGCTGTTGTCCTGCGTAGTTTGCTACCTTAGTCGGTTCTTACCACAATTACAATATAATTTAATATTTTATCACATTCACACAACTTATCTAGTCCCAAACTAAATAGAACTTGTACTATAGGTACTAAACAACTGATTTAAATACACATCTACTTTTTTTTTTTTGACATTCATAGATACTTATTATACAAAGAAACACCTACACCAAATCAAACATTAAATGTTCATGCACATAAATGTTTGACTTAAGCGGGAATCGAAACAAACCACTACGCCATCCAGCCGTCAAGAATTGATAAAATGGGAAATGGGATAATACTTTATGTGATCAACAAATTATTGTTCTGAGTCTTGGTGTTCTTATATTCGTTCGATGGTTTGTGAAGTCCCTTGCGACACACGATGTATTACTAGTATGGGAGTTTTTTTTTTTAAAGAAAAAAAAACATAAAATCAGAGTTGCAAGTTTTCAAATTTTCTATATTGATATCAGATTCCTATCTTGCCTTCCTTTTTAATACATCTTTTCTTTCAATATCCTGACAATTGGCTCATCATTAGATTTTTGCCGTCCATTAGGCACTTTAAGGAATACCTTAACGTGCAAAATGGACGGAAAAAGACTTACTTGTTGTTCTTCTAAGTCTGAGTGTACTAAATGTTCGTTTCGTGTATGTTTATAAAGTCCCCCGCGACACAAGATATATTTCTAATGCGGGAGTTTTATAATAAAAAAAAACCTGTATTACATGAGTGCGAAATAAACTATACCTACATGGGAAAATGTAGGCGTTTAACATACCCCTCTCATACATACATAAACATACTGCCTCTTTAGGGATATGAGAGTAAGTGTCACATATAACTGAATCTTCATCTGCCTACCCTTTTCCCAATTTTACATGGGTCGGCGCAGTATGTACGATTTTTCCATTCTACTCTGTCATGCGTCATCTCACTGTTTACTCCCTTCCTAGCCATATCCTTCTTCGGTCTGCCTCTTCTCTTGTACCCTTCAACTCTCATACCTAAAACTTTCTTCGCCACATTTTCCTCACATATAACTGAATATAACCAACTATAACTTTTCCCATATATGTAATGCTAGCTTTTGCCGGCGGCTCACCCCCTGTGTACATCCTATGTCCTTCCTCAAGAATCAAAGTATCTCCATGGCAAATTTCTTTAAAATCGGTGCTGTGGTTTAGCCGTGAAAGAGTAACAGACAGACAGTTACTTAAGCATTTCTCGTAGAAGTAGGGATGTATGTAGAACAAGAAAACTATATTTTAGAAATAGATTGAAAGAAACTCATGAATTTTCGCTCAAAGCACGAACGACAGTGGAGGGCTTCGAGCACTCAATTAAAGAGATGATACCCCATTGACGTAATGACCAGGATGTCGCCATAACGCTGAACCTGCGTGTTACGTAATGAAGATGGTTACTGCCACTCATTTGCGGAAATTGATGATGTGTTTCATTTGCGGTTAATCTTGTTGGAGATCACCTACTTTCATTTAGTTCAAAGTCTACTCAAGCAGGCACAAACTGCACTCTATTCGACTAACTCCTGAAAGACTTAAATTTTATGGTGCCTTATTTGGTGCACTAGCTGTCACCTGCGACTTAACTCGCTTTCTTAACTCTTATTTAGCTGTTCTTACTTTGAAAATGACGAAATTTCATACAATTGTTCATCTCTTATTTTACCCCCTTAGGGGTG